ACAGAGTTGAATAGAAGTAGGTTTCTTGATGGGCAAAAGACCGTAACGTGAAGTTTTGTGAGCATCGTGTCTTTGGAAAATAGAAAAGAGTCGGATTCATCAAAGACACAACACGAAGCGAACACTTGAGTATATCTATTTAGATCTTTGGGGACGAGCTAGAGTACCTTCAAAATGAGGTGTTTATTGTTTGTTGGCAGTGATTGATTACTTCTCTAGGAAAGTTTGAATATTCTTCTTAAAACACAAGAGTGATGTGTTTGAGACCTTCAAAGAGTAGAAAAAAATAATTAAAAAAAAGATTGGAAAGCAGGTGAAACGTCTACACAAAAATATTAGGGGCGTGTTCGGTAGAATATTAAAATCGGATTAAAATTGAAAAATTAGCCGTTATAACACTTTTATTAGATGAGTGAGACTCAATAACGGTCATATTTTTAATTTTAATCGGAAACAAACAGGCTCTAGGTTGGAGTTTTGTTCTCAATAGCTTCTGCAAGTTTGAAGGCATCTTGAGACACTTGATAGTGCCTGAAACTCCTCAAAAAAAAAAAATTGTGGTAGAATGGATGAATAGAACTTTGATGGAAAAGGTTCGTTGTATGCTTTCAAACTCTGGGTTTCTTAAGACCTTTTGGACTAAAGCTGTTATTATAACTTATTTTCTGATTAATCGCTCACTTTCAACTGCCATTGAAAAAAAAAACACTAAAAAAGGTATGGTCTGGTAAACCTTCTTGTTATTCTGATTTGAATAATTTTGGATGTCGTGCTTATGCTCATGTAGATAATGAAAAGTTGGAGCCTAAGTCTAGAAAGTGTATCTTTCTTAGGTATAAATCTGATGTGAATGGGTATAAATTGTGGGTCTTGAGACAAGAAAAGTGGTGGTTAGTATAGATGTGGTATTTGATGAACTTATTATGGTTCACCTCGTGGGGTTTCTGATAAAACTGAGGTGGATTTAGAAATTGGTCTAAGGGAACAATTAGAGGTTTTAGAAGAGTCTACTACAAAACAGTTTAGTTCATAGTTGACAAACAGTAATACTTTACCTACACTACTAGTAACACCACAGTATTCATTGCTAAGGATAGACCTCGCAGACAGATTAGACCTCCACAGATGTACGGAGAAATAGATTTGGTAGCTTATGCATTGAGTGTATCTAACAGTATTGATTTCACTAAGGAGCCTGTTACATATTTAGATACAATCAATTGCAGTGATTCTAGCAGATAGTTGATTGCTATGCAAGAGGAGATGGAGTAATTGAATAAAAATAATACTTGGACTTGGTGAAATTATCTAAGGATAAAAAAATGTTGTTTGCTGTAAGTAGGTGTTCAAAAGAAAGAAATACACATCAGGGATTGAAGATGTAAGGTATAAGTCCAGATTTGTAGCAAATGGCAACAATCAGATTCCAGGTGTTGACTTCACAGATATGTTCTTACCAAATGTGAAGCATAGTTCTATTCGGACTTTATTTGGAGTGGTGGCTAAGAATGACTTGGAGCTTAAGCAGATGAACGTCAAAACAACATTTTTGCATAGAGAACTTGAGGAGAACATTTACATGTGGACTGAGGCAGTCACCAAGGCAGTGGTAAAAAATGTTCGATTCATTCATGGCTACTCATAGTTTCAAGTAATTATGATAGTTGTGTGTACTTTAAAAAGGAAGGTGGTGGATCGATCACATATTTGTTATTATATGTTGAAGATATGTTCATAGCAGTCAAGGATAAAGCAGAGGCCAGGAAGGTGAAATCTCAATTTAGTAAGAAGTTTGACATGAAAGATATGGGTGCAGCAAGAAAGATTATTAGTATGAAAATCTGGAGGGATAAGAAGACTAAGAGATTGCATTTGAGTCATAAGGGGTACATTGAGAAGGTGTTTCAAATGTTCAATATGTTGAATGCTAAGGCTATCAGTACTCCCTTGGTTGCCCACTTTAAATTATCATTTGGTTTATGTCCTCAGTCAAATGAAGACATTGATTATATGTCTCTGGTTCTTTATTCTAGTACAATTGGTTCACTTATGTATACTATGGTTTGTACAAGACTAGATTTGGCACATATAGTCAATGCAATTAGTAGATATATGGCAATTCCTAACAAGGAACATTGAAAAACGGTGCAGTGGATATTTAGATACTTGATTGGCTCTTCTAATGCTTGTTTGCATTTTAATAGAAATATAGATTAAGTCATTGTGTATATGGATTCAGATTATGCAAGAGATCTTCATAAGAGGAGATCACTCATAGGGTATGTGTTTACCCTTGGAGACAATGCTATCAACTGAAAAGCTACTTTGCAGAATACAGTAACTGTCTACAGTAGAGACAGAGAACATGACTATTACATAAGCATGTAAAGAGGCTATGTGGTTGAGAGTTTTGATTAGTGAGATCGGTGAAGGCTTGCAGATTTTTAAGGATTAGGTAGTCAGAATGTTATTTTCTTGACTAAGGATGAGATATTTCACGAGAGAACTAAACACATTGATGTGAGGTATCATTTTATCTTTGATGTGATTGCATGTAGTGATATTGTAGTGAACAATGTTGATACCAAAAATAATTCTATTGATATGATGACAAAATCACTTCCCATTACTAAGTTTGAGCATCGCTTGAACTTAGTTAGTGTTTGTCATTATTTTAGGAAAATTGCTATGAGTATAGAGAAAAAATAACAAAATTAATACAGATTTTTGAATTTCACTCTCATTGGGTGGGCCCCATGTGAATTAAAATATTGACAAAAAACCCTACCCACCCCTGCTATGTTTGTTCTGGCAGGTACAAGAATTTAAATTCATGTACATGTAGCATGTCTCTTATTTTAGCTCATGAGGCTGTTTGGAAGATGTGGAGTGGTATTTACTTGAAAATGTATTTTTGAATTCATGTGTTAGAATTTGGTTTAAGGTGAATATTTGTTGTGATTTGACTCGAATTTCATATGATTTGGTGTTTGGTTGAATTAAAGAAGTCTAAAAAGTTTTGGCTTTGAAAGTTTGAATTGAACTAGATCAAATTTCATCAAGAATTGAAAGTTTTGACTTGAAAAATGACATTAAGGTGAACAAAAGGGGCTTGGAGAATTTATCACCGAGATCGGGCACTATAGCACCCGTAAAAAAGAAGAGAGTAGGGGGCCTTGCGCCGCAGCATCGAGCACAGGGCGCTGCAGCGATATCGCCCCTATTTCAATGTTACGTCTGGAGCGTCGTGGCTTGGCGCCATGGAGGTGACAGTGGATGGGAAAAATCTGATTTTTCCAGTTTTGATGTATTATTCTTCATTTGAAACTACAAAAGAGGCTCATAACGTCCACACTTTTCATTGTTATTGTGGAAAACGTCATTTGCCTTTCATTTTTTGGTATTTTTTACATTTATTTCCACATTTCATTATACAAAAGATCATTTTCATCCATTTTTCTCAATGAAAAATTATGAAATGACAAATATATCATTCTATTTAAATAAAGCAAAAGAAAAAGAAAAAAAATTAATTACAACCATAGTCCGATTTTTTTTAAAAAAACGTAACGAGTTCCAAATAAATTATTAAAATGGTAATTATCACATAATTCCATACCTTTCACTATTATTGCGAAAAACGTCACGACCTTTCAGTTTTTTGGTATTTTCAACTTTAATCATCATTTCTATCTATTTTCATCCAAATTCTCAATAAAGAGATATGAAATGATGAATATATCATCCTGTTTAAATAATAAAAAAAGAAAATTAAATATTTTTTTAAAATTTCTATTTTTTAATAATTTATTTGGGACTCGTTTGCACTTTTTAATTTTTTAATAAATTTAATTGGGATTTGTTTGCATTTTTTTAAAAGAAAATTTAATTTCTTATTTTATAATAATTTATTTGGCACTCGTTTGCACTTTTTTTAAAAAAAATTGGGATTATAATTACAATTAATTCTTTATTTTTTTTATTTTTTTTAAATAAGATGGTATATTTGTTATTTCACATATTTTTATTGAAAAATTGGATGAAAATATATAGAAAAGATGATTTGAACAATCAAAGATATAATTAAGGGTGAAATACCAAAAAATAAAAAGTATGGATGTTCACAATAATAGTGAAATGTATATACATTATGTGCTAATTACATTTTTAATAATTTATTTAGGATTTATTTGCACTTTTTTAAAAAAAATTAGGACTATAATTGCAATTAATTTTTTTTAACAAAAGAATATATTCTTCATTCACAATTTTTAATTAAGAAAATAGATGAAAATGACTATTTGCACAATGAAAGGTGAAAATAAGTGTGAAAATGACAAAAAATGAAAGGTAATGATATTTTCCACAATAATAGTGAAATGTAAAGACGTTATATGTTAATTACCCTATATATATTCCACATTGTTATTCTTCATATATACATTCAACATCTTCAGAGTTGGATGGTTTAAATTTCAATTAAGAGTATTGAAATTTTGATATTGTAATCACATTTATTATTGATTACAGCAAAAAATTTCTCTTCATCTGTTATTTTTTTCAATCTTATGTTTTCGCATAAATTTGATTGTCTGTTATTTATTTCATTATTGTTATTATTTTAAGATCAAATTTTAATATTAATTCCTACCGACAAATTATGTTCTCCTATGCAATTATTGGCATTGTTGATTGCTAAAGCGACGGATTAGTACAACATTGAACGAAGGAATTCCTCGGAAGACCTCTACAACTATTTTTTTCTCTTCCGTACACACGCCTCCCAGTCCAGTTTGACAGCTACGTACCACCAAATTGCATTGCTAAACCTTCAATTTTCTATCATGCAGTGTGAATTCAAAGACTGCACAATTGGCATATTCCTTCAATAATTCATCTACTCCATTCCATTCCCTCCCTCAATCATTAATTCATTCAAATTTCGAAACCCCCACTCCTTTTCCTCCTCCCTCCCTTTGTGTGTGTTGAACTGAAGAAAAATGGCGAATTCAGTTGATACAAATTCTACCAAGTGTTTCTCCGGCGTCATACGGCGGTTGTTGTGCTGTGGCAGCCTCCCAACACACCCATCTGATCAGTCTGTTGAATCCAAGACCAACAAAGAAGTTGAGAAGCCTGAAAATGCTTTAAAGTCTGATGAAGCAAAAGTGAAAGCTGCAGAAGCTCCTGGAGTGGTGGCCAGATTAATGGGTTTAGATTCACTGTCAGAAGATATCAACCCAAAAGATAAAAGTCTGGCTTCTTATTTTCGAAGCAGGTCATTGAATTCCATTGATTTTCTTGCACAACTTGATGTTTCTTGTAAACAATCCCCGGCACAGCATAGAAGAGTAAGAACATCTGTGTCATTTCGTGAAGTTCCTTCTCTTGATCTTAAAAGAAAACATGATTTTAACTTGATTCTGCCCTTTGAGCAAGCAGAAAATTGTAAAGCTACAACCAAATATCAAGAAAGATTGGAGGTGAAACAGAAGAAGGTCCTCAAGAATGAAAGCAATCAAAACATAAAAGATAAACAGTATCTTATGAAGAAATCTTGTAAGAAATTGGAGGATAAGCTCAAGAAAGTGGATGTTGAATTATCTTCAGAAGTTGGCTATAGTTCTACACCTCGTAAAAAGAATGTTAGTAGAAAAACAAATGTGGACTTGAAGGAAAGAAGGCCAGCCAAATCACAGTATTCCAAGAAGAGAAAGAATAAGAATTCTCAGTGCAACCCAAAAAATTCACCTTCTTTCTCAGTTTTTTATGAAGCTCAACATTATCAGATGCAAACAGTAGCCACTCCATCAGCATCAGGTATATATATATGTTATGTGAAATCAATTAACATATAATAATTCCTAGGAATGCTAAATTTTCATTGGTCTGTTTAATATGCTGGATTGAATACTTTTGTGAAATGATGAGTGTTTATGTTCCTGCAGAAGTTTTGCCGGTGCTGCAATTTTCAAACAAACCTATACCGCATTCTAAAAATGGAGAGCTCAAGGCAATCACTGACGAACATGACCACCACAAAACGACGAAGGAAGAGAGTTCTTACAACATAAAATTGGTCGAAAATGTCTATAATTTGACAGAAGATGATCTAAAGGAGTCTTGTTGGGTACCCAGTCGAGTGTTGAAGTTTGAAGATTTTGAAGAGATATGTGTTCATCATGGGCAACAAATATTTGAGTTATTGCTGAATCAAGTTGTTGATGAACTTGTGCTGCTTCACAGGAGAAAGAAATTCCTTTCCCATGCATGTTAAAGAAAGGGCTAGAGATCTGCGGTGATTTTAGAATTACTGATGTACTTTCGGAACCTTAATTGCACAAAAAAAATGCTCAAGCCAATCGAGCCCCTAGTAAATTCCATCAAACATACATAGATATGGCCCTACGTTTCTTTAAAGCTATCTTACGTCAATTTTTTCTGAAAGTTCTTCTAATTAAATAATGCATTTTTACAGAATTTTTCAAATGCATTTCAACTTCTTAATTCAGAAGCATCTTTTAGCTTTTATAAAGCTATGCCTTACGGCCAATAGTAATGTGGGTTGTACTTATCAAAATTTATAAAATTTATCTTTGTTTTGGTTTGATATATTGAAGGTTTTCAAAATTTTGTATTTTTTCTTTATTTTATTTCGAGTATTAACAAAAGTAAGAAGTTGGAGGAAGAATTAGAGTTTTTTTCTTATTTGACCAATTTCATGGACAGTCAAAGTAGAAAGACGTTTTTTTGATAATTGTATATGGATTAAACTATTTGTACATTCCTTGCATGAGATGAAGTTTGACATCCTTTGAAAATTCAAAATGTTGTTGGCGAGAAAGTGTGTAATGTTTAAAAACTGACTAATCATGATACGACACGTGTCACAAACTCACAATGTCAAACTTAATGTAAAAAAAAATGTACAAGTAGCATGGTCCATTGTATATTACAACGATTTTTTCTTTGTTGGTTAACAAAGTTCTTCTAGATTAATAATTATGCAATACTAAACTATAATATTTTTAATTTTTTTGAAAAAAACTGGCAATCTTGGGAGGAGAGGAATAGGGAAAGATGAGTTTGTTTTTAATTTTTTTTACTTCTTCTTTATATAAAATTTTGTGTATTAAACAATAATTTAATACAAAGAAAGACAAGGAACGAAAGGAGAAGCGCTAAAGTGCAAGGCATAGGGTCGAAGGTGCTAGTAGGAGTGTGACATGGAATGTTGTGGCCTCTAGGCAGGTAGAGGCAAGTGAAATTGAAGTAAAAGGCAAACGACATGCACAATCAAATGTGGGATGCAATGGATGCCACTAGAAGGAACGACTGGCCGGAAGTGTAGGCATGTAGCCTATACGATTACAAGGACTTCACGGATGTTTACAGAATTCGCCAAATCCTTATCTCTATTCATTTTTGAGTTTCTTTTCTAGAGTATCTGCGAGTGCCAAAAATCAATAGAGACTGGCTTAACTATCTAGGGTCGTAAGGAACAGATGAAGGGACTAAGAGTTGCATAAAGTGTGTTTTAAAGAGCAAAGTTTGTGGGAGACATCTAAATGAACAAGGATAATCTCAATCAGTGGCGGACGGGGAGGAATCATGGGTGTTGCCTCAATGGCGCGACTTTTGGGTGAAAACTAGGGTTGCCTCAATGGATATATTTCATAATTTATAATCCATGGCAGAATTGCAAAAAACCCGAATTTGAAAGTGTTGTGTAAAATATCGAACCAAAACTCATTGTAACTCTAACTCAAGATCAATTGCAGAAAACCAAAGTGTAAACTGGACTTTATTCAACCTTTTATGATGCAATAATCCAGGCATCAAAGATAAAGATCATTACAATATTGGTGCTCAGACTCAAAAATGAATTGTATACAAACACTCAAACACTAACCCAGATACTTTGAGTCACACCTTTATCAATTAAAAGTCAATAACACAGAGTATTATCTTCAATACAACACATGCAATGTAAGATTTCTCCAAAAAGAATCAGAAAAAACACACTTTTAACTAAGGGTTTGGTAGAAGAACTTGAAGAGAAGAAGAGGAGAGAAGTCTCTGGAAGCCAGTAATCCAAACGAAAGAAGGCAGAAGTGAATAATAGGGCAACAAAGGGTGATATATATACCCTCATTACCAACCATCAATCACATCTTCAATCCAACGGTACATGTGGTTTCTCATATATGATATCAAAAGGCAAAAGCATGTTGAGTTGCTACCAAAGAAAGCAACAAGTTACAAAACACGACTTCAGACTTAAATGGATCTAGGTCTCAGGATTAGGCCATGTTACTTGGCAATTGCATGAACTTTGAAAACAGTTTTAGGCCTTAGCCATTTATTGTCATTGCCCCAAAAGGAGAAAATTGGTATCACAGCCCAACAACCTCCACCTTGATGTCAATAGACTTCCAACATCACTACAGTCCTCCAATTATATCCATTTATAGCTGCAATCCAATTTAAGTAGTATCAATGTTCAACAAAGACAAGCGTGATTTAAATTTTGAAATAGACAGTACCTTTATTCCCATGTTAGAAGGATTAAACTTTATAAGAATTTTTTTCAAGAACGATAGATTCATTAGAGATAATATCTCTAATAAAATACAACTTTACATCTATATGCTTTGTTCATTCATAAAAAAGGGGATTCTTACAAGGGTGTATGGAACTTTGACTATCACAATAGACAATGACAGGTTCAGTAAGCATATTAATTTCGGTTAGTAACCCTTTGAACTATAAGGCTCCTTTTACAGCTTCTGTAGCTGCCACATATTCTGCTTTTGTAGTTGACAGAGCTACAATAAGTTGTTACTGTGATTTCTAGCTTACACAAGTACTATATAGAGTAAATATATAAGCATTTGGGAATATTCTATTATCCCTGTCCAAAATTAGCCATAAATCTACTTAAATACTAGTAACACGAGCCACATCAAATCTTGTACACACCATAGTGTACATGACAGAACCCACAACATTAGCATAGGGTACCTTCTCCATATGTCTAATATTAGATTCATCTATTGGACACTGTTCTTTACTAAATGACTAGCTAAAGGCAAAGAAACANTTACATCCCCCTCACATGGAGGGGGTCCACACATAATAAAATAATCGTGGGCCTCCCTCCATGTGAGGGGGGTGTAAAAGATTGTGTAAAAGTTTATGGGTACATGTAGCATCACCCAAAAGGCAAAAGCATGTTGAGTTGCTACCAAAGAAAGCAACAAGTTACAAAACACAACTTCAGACTTAAACGGATCTAGGTCTCAGGATTAGGCCATGTTACGTGGCAATTGCATGAACTTTGAAAACAGTTTTAGGCCTTAGCCATTTATTGTCATTGCCCCAAAAGGAGAAAATTGGTATCACAGCCCAACAACCTCCACCTTGATGCCAATAGACTTCCAACATCACTACAGTCCTCCAATTATATCCATTTATACCTGCAATCCAATTTAAGTAGGATCAATGTTCAACAAAGACAAGCGTGATTTAAATTTTGAAATAGACAATACCTTTATTCCCATGTTAGAAGGATTAAACTTTATAAGAATTTTTTTCAAGAACAATAGATTCATTAGAGATAAAATACAACTTTACATCTATATGCTTTGTTCTTTCATGAAAAATGGGATTCTTACACGTGTGTATGGAACTTTGACTATCACAATAGACAATGACTGGTTCAGTAAGCATATTAATTTCGGTTAGTAACCCTTTGAAATATAAGACTTCTTTTACAGCTTCTGTAGCTGCCACATATTCTGCTTTTGTAGTTGATAGAGCTACAATAAGTTGTTGCTGTGATTTCTAGCTTACACAAGTACTATGTAGAGTAAATATATAAGCATTTGGGAATATTCTATTATCCCTGTCCAGAATTAGGCATAAATCTACTTAAAATACTAGTAACACGAGCCATATCAAGTCTTGTACACACCATAGTGTACATGACAGAACCCACAACATTAGCATAGGGTACCTTCTCCATATGTCTAATATTAGATTCATCTATTGGACACTGTTCTTTACTAAATGACTAGCTAAAGGCAAAGAAACAGATTTTGATTTATGCATAAAAAAATTTGACAGAACCTTTCAACATATGCAAATTGTTTGAATATTAACATGTGTTGAGATATTTTCCTAAAAATGTCCATCCCAATTATTATTATTTTTGCATGTCTCAAATTTTTCATTTCAAATTCAGTGCCAAAAATTCCTTTTATATCATATATTTGTTTTAGATCAGGGACAATTAAAAGTATATAATCAATAACAAATATAACATCGTCAGATCCTTTCTTAAAGTAATGATAATGATCTTATGAGTTTCTTGTAAAACCAACAACCATATCAAAATTATCAAACATTTTATACCATTATCTAGGAGACCGTTTCAAGCCATACATGATTTTTGAGTAAAGACACGAGTCGGATTTAGATTCTATTAACATAGAGGATTCTGCCAC